GTCACCAATATCACCGAGCATATTGAAGGATTTCCATCTACTAACATTGCGATAATATTACATGTATTATCCACATGTGCGGATTGATGAAATTGAAGTGAATATCACCACAATATCTTTCCAATGCAATCAATCTGCTGCATCTATATGATTCTGTCATGTCTGCATTGTCATGTCCGCATGTAATATTTTAACTTTATCATAAATTAATTATTAGATAGATGATAAGCAATAAATAGCTATATATGTAATTATCCTAAAAAAATTGTAATTAGATATTTTATGTAAATTATATCAGGCTAGATTTGCTTAAAAATTAGTATTGTATATGAAAATTTTATATTTCACTAATCTCTTAAGTATATCTTAATGTTATTTTTTTTCAATTTTGATTTATAAAATATTTACAATGCCATTTCGCTATATATATATTATAATTGATAAAGCCACTATTATTATTATTATTACTTTTATTATTATTTAATTATAGCAAGATTAAATCTCTAAATTTGAATTTAACTTGATGTGAGAAATAGATTTGCAGAAAACAAGATTGAAATTAAAAACCTTGTCTCATAAAAATGAATTAACAGTGAGACATCTATTCAAAATGATAAATATAACATCATTTTTTAATCAAAATTCAATACAATTTCTGAACAAATGCACACTACAATTTACTTAGACTATAAGATAATATAATACTCAACATCATTATCTATCAGAGATTTCTTAACATAAATTTTTTTGAGGCATTTACAGGCGCGACGGTGAGGTTGGAATGCAAACACTTTCAGAACGATGCGGTGGAACACAGCATTGAGGCCGTCAGTGGCGCCGACGGTTATTATACATTCATTGTTCCCAATGATCACGAGGAGGAAATTTGTTATGTGAAGCTGATTAAGAGCCCGAGGGCTGATTGCGCTGAGTTCGTTGAGAACAGAGAGCAGGCGCGCATTCTGCTTACCGAAAACAGCGGTCAGGCCAACAACTTGCGTTATGCTAATGCGTTGGGCTTTCTCAAAGATGTCGCACTTCCAGTATGCCCCGAGCTGCTCAAGGCCTACGAAACTGATGATGATTTTTAAATAATTAAAATGGAGATATATGATGATTTATTTATATGTTTTTTGGTTTCATGGAAGTTTTTATAAGAATATAAGTGATTGATTCAAGGAACAATTCATGGGGGTATGAGTATATTGGGAATGGGTTGTTGATGAAGTTGCAATTTCTATTTATTGTGAAAGATTGTTTTGTGTTTTTTCTTTCCTTTTTCCTATGCAAAGTTCGGAATAAATTTATTATTTTTTGTCCATGTAATGCAACTCTCAAATAAGTTGTGAAAAATAGGGCATAGAACTTTTCATGAAGCCTGATTTGTAGCCCTCAATACATAACAAATGAACATATATGACTATTCATTAAACTTTTTTGCAAGGCCAAATGTTTTGTACAGGGTCATCATTGAATGGTTGAAACAATAATAACTAAGGGAACATTTACATACATTACAACCAAATCCTATGCATTTTTATAGTGACAACTAAATTTTGCATCCAAATCAAGCATATCAGCTCACATGATTGTTAAGAACTCTTATTGCCATATTATGTGATAAATTTATCTTTATGCAATAAAGAAATAATATGCTCTATATGCAAAAATGCACTTTTCATGAAATCTCATTCAAATATTACCCTTAACAATGTTATCTAAATCTTGTAACTATGTTAAGTTTCAATATTTATTAAGGGGTTGATTGGGCTCACTTTTATTTATTATTTTATTTTTTTATTTCTATTTATATGTTAATTTAAAATAAAATATATTTGAAATTTTGAAGAGGGAAACAAAAATTATCATTATTTTTACATATGAATGATTATTTATTAGATAATTTCATTAGCAGTATGGAGAAATCAAAGAATAAAGTCAAATGTGATGCCATGATTCATCTCTACCAAAAAGAATTCACAAGAAATTGCAATGAGGGGGAGCACCACGAGATATTTTAAGAATATTTAAGTTGTGAATTATTATGAAAATAAAAATAAGAAAATGAACATCTAATTTTTATGGGGAAAATATTATGTTTGAAATCTGGACCCGCGGACGATGGCGTGAATTGCTCCATGCCGTTGTGTGCATGGTGTATGTGACCCACGACCCACACTGTCGTTTGTAAAAGAGATCAAACCTTGTTTTATTTGAAGTCGCCTTCTCCGGCTTATACACACTTGCTCTCTTCCGTAATTGTGTCTCAGTCCAATGTATTAGTGGTTAGGGCTCTTTATGTGTATTTAAGGAATTGTGTCTCAGTTCAATATAATAGTGGTTAGGGCTCTCTATGTGTATTTATGGCTCTAGTGTATCCGATGTATAATGAAAAAACTACCTTTGCCTAAAACATCTTATAAATACAAGTTGTTGTCTATGTAGTAGAGATACAACAAAAAAATATTGCATTTATTTCTTTGTGAAGTCTTCTATGCTCCTCTGCTTCTTCTGTTCTCATTTCTTCAACTTATATTATGCTATGCCAAGGTTCTTTAGTTTGCATGTCTGATTATCCGAACTTAAATTTTCTCCTTCTTATGATAACTAAATAAGCACGCACCAATAAAATTAGAGATTTTTCAGAGGACCAATAAGAAATTCTAAGCTAGAAGAAATTAAATATTAATGTATTTCACATAATTGATTTTTTGCAGAAAAATATAAGATGACTATAATCTTCAAATATCATATGGAGGTGCAACCAAGGATGAATTTGACCTAAATATATGGATGAAAGCTATAACCTATTAGAGGCTTATCAAATACTTTAGAGGCTATTTTAAGTATAGAAGATGATAAAAATTGACGTGAAATCAATTAAAAGAGAGCTATTAACAGTGTTAAGGTCAACCAAATACATTCCAAGAGGTCGGAGAAGTCACGTGATCTATGTTTACAAAGTTGTGACAATATATTGTTCTAAATGGATATAAGGATGCTATTAACAATAACGATAGTGATAATGATGATGACGATGTATATATTATGAATCATACCCAAGCTATAGTGTAAATAAAAAGAGAGAGAGTAAGACAAAAGGAAATAAATAGTAATCAATTCTGTTTTATTCATAAAATAATTTCTAAGATGAGATGATACTATGAGATGATATGATTGTGTCTACTCATACTAGGGAAAAAATAATTAGCATAATCTATAATATTGAACATACTCTATAGTCCTTCATCCTTCCAAGTAGATTAAAGAATACTTTAAGAAATTATGTTTAAAGCACAATGCATCTTCAAAAAGAAACAAAATACTTCTAAGAATGATAGCTTTAAAATGAGAAACACCATTGATAAAGTCATCCAAAAATTAAATGTTAGCCCTCATTATTAGCTTTAAATATACTATGCAAAATTTTCCCAATTACAAAATTTAAAAAAAGAAGAGGGGAAAAGAGAGTTAATTATATTGGTATAAGACTTGCCAACGCTAAACTTAATGCAAATAGTTTTTGGTTTTAGGGCTTAGGTTTGTTGGATCCCAAATTGTTCAGTGGATCACGCCTAAGGTATAGAGCGCTAATCAAATGAAAAGGAGGAGGAAGGAAGATTTGAATACATGACACTAGTTTCTCAGTGAGTATTATGGTCCGACCCTTTTAAGAATTATCCATCTATTCATAATTTATAGGTATGACTTATAAGATAAAAGGTCGTTACTTATTAAAGAGAGGAATATTACTATAATTAATGAGTTATTAAATTTACACATTTATCATAGAATAATATTTATTCAGACCTCATAATAGATGCCAACACTTCTATACAGATAACTCCCTTGAATTCTTCTTCACATTCGTAATCTCTTAGTTTGGATGCTTGAATTAAATTCGATCAGACTTCATTCATTTGGCTAACTTTTCATCATTCAGTCAATTTTATTACTATTCGGTCACCTCATTCTGTGTATTTTGAATATGAAGACACACAATCCGAGGATAGGGTTATTTCATTGGGCAGGGAGTAAATCACTGTAATCTGATAAGCAACCCACCTTCAGGTTATGTATCTTTGCTAAAATGCCTTATCCCAAGTGACTACCATTTTTTGTGATAGTAGTTAATAGATAGTCAATGATGATATAGTGTTGACCTCACTTTTGGTTCAGGTTTAGTTTTTTCCCTTTTAGTAGCCTAAGGTCTAGCCATAGGATTTTCCTATTGACTATTCTTAAAAAACTAGACATGGAACCCTCACTACTAGAAATTCCAAACTCTTCTCTACTCAACTTGAAGTTCCACATGTTGATCCTAACCTCTAACACTTAGTAGGTTGGGTCACTATGGGGGAAACTCAAGATGAGTCAACCTTAGGACTGCTGGACCTTAAGGTTAACTCTGGGTGTTGGTCTGGAGCTAAGGCACTCACTATACTCACTACACTCATATACACCCACATTCACTCACAACCC